CTAAACCCTAAACCCTAACACTGAAACCCTAAACCCTAAACCCCAAACCCTAACCCTTAAACCCAAAACCCTAAACCCTGAAACCCGGAAACCCTAAACCCTAAACCGTCTAAGGTGCTCTCCTAAAATCGCCCCAATCCCAAACCCCCAAACCCTCGATGCCTCGAGCCAAACTTCCGACCTTTGCGGCCTTGGGGTTTAAGTTCAGGGATTCGAGTTTGGTGCACGGTTTAGGGGTTTAGGGGTTTAGGGGTTTAGGGTTTAGGGTTTAGGGGTTTAGGGTTTAGGGGATTAGGGTTTAGGGGTTTATGGTTTTATTCCTGAAGCCCTGAACTTTAGAATTCTAGTGAACCTAGTGGCCGTGAACCCTGCCAAAACTGTCCGAACAGCTTTGTGCAGTTCCACCCAGACTGTCTATGCAAAGCTCTACACCGTAAACCCGGAGCCTTAAACCCGAAACCGTGCTTCACCAAAGCGCACAACAACCATAAATAGCCCTATCCAGAAATAACACACCCTCAACTGTTATCCATTTAGGGCGAAAGGCTGTGAGGGTTTACTCCTAACCCCCATAAAATTTTTTAAACCCTAAACTCTAGACCGTGAGGGTTTGGCGGAAACAGGGCGTCCTTCTGGGAACCTGCCCACGTCGGCCGGGGCCAAGCCAAATTTCAGCACCGTTTTAACTGCCGTGCTAGTTTGTATGGGAATCTCCTTACACGAATACAGAATGCACCTCCAAGGGCGTGAACACCGAAGAAAAGCTTGACCGGAGTGCCTCTTCGGACATCACGATTCCCGGGGCCACGTGCTTCGCTGGCAACTCCGGGTCAAAGGCCATCCACCCAGATCAGTGGCTCCGCCTGCGGCATGATTGGCTGCCGCCAATCCCTGAGCAGCGCAGGTTGATCCCGGGCTTCACCCGCACATTCTGCTCCAGACGTGTGATCCGCAGAGGCAGCGATAGCCTTCATCTTAGATGGGCTGACTCAACAGCAGGCCACGGCCTTGGCCTCCATCTGCGACGGCGAGCCGTACGAGGGGCTCGGCATCTTGACGTCCGGCAAGAGCACCTGACTCCATGCCTTCCATGACCAGTGGAAGGGCTCCGCCCCCTTCTCCCCCCCCTCTCGGATTGACACCGTAGGGCCATGGAGTTAACAACGAACTCAAGTGGATTGAGGGTGCTTCAGGCAATCTTGCCCGTGGCGCCATAATGGTCTTAGCGAGCTAGATTCAGAGGCTGGCAGAGGAGGATTGGCATTAGTAAGAAAAGCCTCCGACTTCGGCGCCTGCCCCTAGATCCTAAATCCTCACCTTTCAACCCTAAACCCTAAACCCTAAACCTTAAACCCTAAGCCCTAAGCCCGAAGCCCTAAAGAGGTGATCGACTATACCGCTCGCATGTGAGACTGCTTCCGCATGTGCTCAGGTCAGACAAGCCTGCAGCTAATCTCCCAACATGACGCCCGGCCGAAACTGAGTTTATCATAGGGGGGGGAACGATTTAGGATTTAGGGTTCAGGTGGGGAGGGGGCTAGGGGACTATACTTTCTTAAATAAGCCTGATTAGGTCCTTTGAAGCTTCCCTGTGAATTTAGAGCTTGGCGTTTAGGGTTTAGGTTTTTTTTTTGGGGGGATGTGGATCTTGCTTGCTGATGGCTTTCCAGAGGTCTTACAGGGCCAACCGAGTGAGTACAATTGGATCCTTATCATATGTTTCCTAATTCAGCCCTAGAACCGAAACCCAACATCCTGAGCTTCAAAACTCTTGAAGGAACCCTTAAACAGATCCCAGAAGCCCAAAGCCCTAAACCCTGAAGCCTAAACCTTATAAAGCCCCCAAATCCTCCCCACAAACGGACCCCTAATCTTCGAAGCGCCATGGTTTCAGGTTTTGGGTTTTAAGGTTTAGGGCCGTAGGGTTTGGGGTTTTGGGTTTTATAGCAATAATCTCTTTTCAGCCTTTGTCAAGCACTATCATATTATAGGGGCCAAAGGAATCCAAACTTGACCACACTTTCATGTACCCCCAACCCCTACTCGAGCGTTTATCCCTTTGAATAGCCCCCAGAAAGCCCGATCAACCAACCCCAACCCTAACTCCGAATGAGTCGTTGAGGGTTTAGGGTTTGGGGTTTGGGGTTTAGGGTATAGGGTTTTTGAGCTTTAAGGATTTAAGTTTGAGGGTCTGAGTACGGGGGCTTAATAACTAGGATAGCGTTTTGGGGTGTACTATACTATAATTATAATAACGAACCCCCCAAACCCTATTCTGATTATTCAAGGCCCCTGCATTATGGTCGTTGGGTCTTAGGGGCGACGGGGATTCAACAAGCCCAGAATGTTCAGGGTTGAGGGGGCTTTTATGGGCCGTGATTCATAATTTCAATACTCTTAGGGGATCAGGGATTTAGTAAGTGGGGTTATGGGTACCTTAATTGGGGTTAGAATCAAAAAATCGACAGTTACGTTACTTATAACCCTACTTACTACGTCCCTTGAACCTCTAAGTAGGGTTTAGGGCTATGGCAGACGGAAGTCAGCAATGAAAGTGACACAACGGGGGTTTTCACTGACAAGGCATTTGTGCCGCTTGAATAGGATTTCGGGGACATTGTAGTACAATCAAAAAATGAGCCCTGAGGGGGGTAATTCTGGTGATTGTTAGACAACCCTAAACCCTAAACCCTAAACCCCCGTTTATTTATGATGTTGCTGGACAAGGCTTGGTGTTCCTCTGGCTGGCCTTTAACTTTTTGGGCTTCTATATGAGCTATAGTAAGGAGACAAAAAGTTTAACTTTTTGGAGGGGTTTAGGGTTTAGGGTTTAGGGTTTAGGGTTTAGGGTTTAGAGTTTAGATTGATTTATGATGGTGCTGGACGGGCTCTCCGGGGTTCCTCTGAAGGGGCTCTAAGACCTTTTTTAAGCCATAGGCTTTAAGCTGCTTCCGTAAGGTGGGGCCTCGAAAAAAGGTGGGTCCCTTCTTGGGTTTGGGCTGGGTTTAGGGTTTAGGGTTTAGGGTTTAGGGTTTATGGTTTTGGTTTAGGGTTCAGGGTTTAGGCTTTCAGGGATTTTTATAGGATTCCTTTGAGGAGTCCTCTACAAGGGTTTTTGGTAAGGCTTCCTCTGAAGACCTGCAAGACATCCTTTAAGGATTTCT